TTCATAGTCACCTTGATGAATATATTCATATCCGTGTTCATCTTCACTTTGATGAATATATTCACTTCCGTGTTCATAGTCACCTTGATGAATAAATTTACATCCGTGTTCATAGTCATCTTGATCAATATATGCATATCCGTGTTCATCTTCTCATTGATAAATATATTCATATCCTTGTTCGTAGTCACCTTGATGAATATATTCATGTCCGTGTTTATTTTTCCGGACGTATCACATGGACTATCCTTGGATTGTCAATGGACATGGTTCGTGTATAGCGCCTTATCGATTTGCTTCACAACTGACGTGTGTGTACTGTCATATCATTCTCGGGGCTGGCAGGGGGAGGTAGACGCTCACTTTGAAACTCTGCGCGAAGATCTGCTGCGTATAGTAAACAGCCAGGAGACCACCAACCAGTGCTTGCGTGCTACAATTGAGAGGAACACACAGGCGTTCACAGACGATACCGATGGACTGAGGAAGCGTTTACTAGCGTATGTATTCTCAATGGGCATGCACAGTGTGAGTATCTCAATGTGTGTGAACTGTGTGATGCACGGGCTGGCCTTGGTTCTGAATAGTACCTGATTGTGTTGTGGTTTAAGTACATTACCTGTGGATTATGTTAAGGGAGGTGCATTGCACGCGTTTGCGTCACACATTGTTCAAAAAATGGATCTGTGATACTCTGACATCGTAGTTGCGTATACAGGTAGAGATAAAGTAGATGAAGATATAGATATAGATATATATATAGATTTAGTTATAGATATAGTTATATTTATAGATAATATAGATATAAATATGGCTATATATTTAGATATAGATATAGATCAAGATATAGATCAAGATATAGATATATATATATATATATAGATATCGATAGCGATATAGACATGAATATAGATATAGATACAGATCTATAAATCTTTAAATACATTTCCGAATGCAGTACCAAGTTTCGGTATATCGTACAAAATATCACGGAAATGCCGTCAATGGTATTAAAAGCTGCATTGATCTACGCTGACACATCGGAGGTTAGAAAGTCTCCTGCGCGAGCACCCTCTATATGTGTGTGTATACTGCTGTGTGTAGCAAGAGTCTAAGCTATTATCAAGTAATATACATACAGCGCTGAGAAAGACATCGCAGCACTCGAGAAGGATGTCAACAAACGCACCGAGATTAGCTGGGCCCTATACAGCCACAACAAAGAATTGGTCAAGCGAAACAAGGACCTCGAGGACAAGTACGAGCGAGCCAAGAAGATCATCACCAAGGACAAAGCAAAGCTGAAGTATGTGACGCTTACCACATTATATCGAAATGAGGTCTATGCGACGGGGTGCACGAGTCTCTTGAAGTACATGCCACCCGCCGTATGGTCGCCTACTGCCGTGTCTATTTCTTTCCCATGTCCTGTTGTTGATGTTCGCAATCACGGTGTCTATAATGCAGGTGCTGCTTGTGCTGGACCAGTGTGATATTCTTAGTGTTTGCGTAATTAATTTTGCACAATCATGTATGCATTAGTGGGCTAGTATCGTGCGTGTGGTGTTCTCAATGCCTTGTGAAATAATACAAGAGGTACCCACTATCCACCCCTAACCAGATTTGCTCATGCTATAGTACGGCGGCACTCAATTCAATGCTTTCTATTCTTTACATTCGCTTTCATTCGGTTCATTTTACACAATTGTATTTGTACACAACTATACACACCTAACAGGAGTTGCTCGTGCAAAGCCTCGACATCACAGAGCCGTTCTTCGTCTCCCACTGTGGAGCACAGTGACACTGGTACTGACACAGCAAAGTATGTAGATCGTCTGATATATATATATATATATATATATATATATATATATATATATATATATATATATATATATATATATATATACGTACTACGTACGTAGTAGTAAGTTA